ATATCCATATCCATATCCATATCCATATCCATACCTGTATATATATACATACATATGCTATACACACAGACATACACACACAAACACAACTAATTACAATCCATTTTGAATACATAGTATCTTGAGAGTTAACAAGGTTGATACCATATGTACAAAGCTATTACAGTATCTAGCTCTTCTGTTTTGAATACTGCGAAGACTCCTCCCAGAAGGTAACAAAGAAAACCTGGTCATGGAGACGATGTGTAGCATCCCTGACAATACTGCAGACTCTGGCCAGGCATCGCTTATATGTTATGTCTTGGATACCTGTACAAGAAAGTAAACTTCCAATAAATCTTTATGCCATCCTCACCACTCTCTGCACAATCTTCCTGTCCAAAACATTACTGCTTTCAAACCATACAGTAATACAATATGACAGGATGGTTTCAATCATCCCCCTATAAAAGTAATAGGAATAGGGGAATGAAGATGTGCTCTTCTTATCTGACACAGAAAATGCAGGTGTTGTGCCTGTTTCACCAGTGTCTCACTAGTGAGCCACCAAGCCAACCTCAGCAGCTGCACACACAAAAACCCGATAGTACTAACCACCTCCACAGGTGAATTGTTAATACACAGAGATGTATGGGTATGCCTGCCTTTTCTGAAATTGGCAATGATTTATTTTGTTTTTCATACATTTAAAACCAGGCTGTTTTTATTATACTAGTTCATCAAACCCTCAACCTCCTCCTAGTAATCACCCTCATTGCCATCCGGTATAAGGAAAACCCACCACTGTTGTATCATCCACATACTTCACAATATGGTTGGTCGCAAAACTAGCACAACAGTTATGGGTCAGCAGGGTGAACAACAGCGAATTTAAAACAAAGCCTTGAGGAAAACTTGTGCTCAAGAATATGGTGTTAGAAATATTAGTTACAGCTCGTACAAAATGGGGCCTATCAGTGAGAAAATCAAGAATCCAGCACAAAGGAGTATTGAAGCCTAAAAGGCCCAGTATATCTACTAAATGCTGAGGAATGATTGTATAAAATGCTGAACTAAAGTCGACAAACAGCATTCGTACATGAGTACTTTCCTCTAAGTGTGCCAAGCTCAGATGGAGAAAAGAGGAAATAGCATTCTCTGTGGAACAATTTGGGCAATAAGCAAACTGAAGTGAGTCAAACGCTGGAGGGAGCCTGGATACAATAAAGTTCTTTATCATCCTTTCAAAACAATTCATAATGATGGTCATAAGTGTAACCGGACAATCATTAAGATCCGTAATTATATATCAAGATGCATGTGTCACCCTTTTCCTGTTCTTTCCTGACACCACGCTAGCAGGCTAATCAACATGAAGAAAATGTGGTTTTCAACTTGATGGCACATAAACAATCAAGTTGAATATAGGTAGTCCTCGACTTATGACCACAATTGACCCCAAAATTTATGTTGCTAATTGGGACCATAGTAAACTGAATTTTGCTCAATTTTACAATCTTTCTTGCTATAGTTGTTAAGTGAATCACTGCAGTTGTTAAGTTAGTAACCCAGTTGTTAAGTGAATTGGGCTTCCCCCTTGAATTTGCTTATCAAAAGAGCACAAAAGATGACCACACGACCTTAGGACGCTGCAACTGTCATTAATATGAACCAGTTGCCAAGCATCCAAATTATGCGACCATGTGGATTTGCAATGATCATGTGAAACACAATCATAAGTCACGGTTTTCAGTGCCGTTTGTAACTTTGAACTGTTAGTAAATAAATGGTTGTAAGTCAAAGACTACCTGTAGTCAATCAGAAAATGTGCAATATATTATTATAACAGGTAATTATATAAATATTTTATCTTTTATGATTGTAAGATACCCAAAGTTACCCTGTGGTAAGGATAGTCTATCAATTTTATAAATAATTAAAATGAAACTATCAATATTTGATATGTGATATTTGCTCTCTGTTTATATACCGCAGCATGTCTTGCCAGTATTGTTGTGGGTGTTATTTTCTCCATAGTAGTTTTTTGATTAGGCTATTTTCTTGATCGTTTGTCTGATATTAATCTCTACTTGTCTGGATGTTGGCTGCTGAAGAAGATGTGTTGTGGCCTTTTTGTTTCTCTCCTAGCTTTTTTATTGTCTTTTTTGAATGGTGGCTAAATAACTCTGTTGATGGCTAACATATCTAAGCCCCAAGCTTCCAGGAATTTCCTACTGTTTTTAGATTTAGCTTGGTCTAGGATGTTCAAAGTTTTCCAGTTGAAATTATGTTGGAGTCTGTCCATGTGTCTAAGCAGTTTTTATCATGTTTTCTGACTGTAATTGATGTTCATGGGTGCCCTCTGCTAGTCTTATGCTTCCTACCTAGTGGCTGTTACAGTTCTTATACTGCCGTGATGGCGCACCTATGGCACACGTGCTGGAAGTGGCATGTAGAGCCATCTCTCCGGGCAAACCAGCTATCGCCTGTTGCTCTTCTCGGTTCCGTTGGTCTTCATGCGTGCAAGTGCCGCAAACCAGCAGACAAGTTCCCCGGCACACATGTGTGCCCCAGGAAACTGAGCTGAGCACCAGCTTGCCGGTGCACACGCACATATGTGCACCGGGAAGTTGAGCTTCCAGTTTCTGCCGTGTGCATGCACACCAACCAGCTGGTGCATCACAAAACAGAAGACTAAGTGAACGGCGTGCATGCGCATACTGGAAACCAGAAACTCAGCTTCCTGTGCACGCATGCATGCCAGAGAACTACTATTCTGGTTTCTGGCGCTCCCATGCATGTTCATCGGGGAACTGCTCTTACAGTTTCTGGCACTCCCCCACACATGTGCTCCTGTTTTGGCAGTCAGTGCCGAAAACATTCACCAACACTGTTATACTGTAATGACTCTTGTTTTTTTCTTCTTGGGCTACTGAGGCTTTTGATTTATTTAAGATGTTTTGGAGGATTTTAGTTTATTTGTGTACTATGGTGATACTATGGTGATATGGAGAGCAATAGTCTCTTGGTTGCTTTTAAGATGTTTCTAATGTATGGCAGTGATATTCTATTTATAGCTTGTGTTGGTTGTGCTGTAATGGGTTGAGTGGTCAGGCATGTTTTGATAAAATTGTATGGGTATGCACACATATAAAGCTATATAAACCATAGGGTCATAGAGGATATTCCCAAGCTTGTTCAACTTCTCCTGATCAAAACTAGAAATTAGCAAGAAATGTACCCTTATCATAATATCCATACTGCCCCAATATTACAAATTATTTGGAATGTTGACAATTTAATTATTTTGCCAACCTTGGAACACAAATATTATGCTCAATTACATGGTTAATTGAGAGACAGCCCATGCTCAATTACATGTTCAACTGAGAGAAAGTGACGTTACAAATAAATCAATTTTGGTTACATAGTAAGTTTCAAAAATTAATTTATAAATTCTATTTAGGATTTAGTATGAAAAGTTTTCAAAACTTCTTTCAGCTACGCAAATCATAATGACACACAAAAACATAATTTAGTTGTTGCAACATTTAGAAATGTTATTCAAGCCTGAAGTGCTCAGCATATTTCTCTGGTCATATAGGAACAACAATATTCTTGATGTTTTAAAAAGTATAAGATAGTAGGAACTTTTTTCAATGACCTTAAAATCTAAATTTTGTATATAGGGGATATAGATAATAAAAGTTATAACCCCCCCAAAAAACCCACAACCCAGTTCTAAAATAAGTCAAACCAAACAAAATGAACTTGATATTACATTTTATAATTGATTTTTCAACTCCAAGAAGATACAGAAAAAAATCAAAATAAAAGTAATGCATAGAAAAGTACAAGTGTACCCAGACTTGTAGTTTAATTTAAACAGTCTGGGATCTTCTGCATAATTTAAACAGTCTGGCTGTAAATATTCAGTCCTAGTGATTAATATTAACTCAGCTTCATTTTAGACCAGGGGTTAAACTATTTTGATATTATTAATAATTTGCAGGAGTAACAAACCTCTACTTTTCTAAAACCTTAATATCTCAAATATATTCAATAATATATATAAATTCCCTACCATGCTGTGACTTTAGTTCTTCCAGATATAAAATGCGAAAGGTTGTGGTTTTACCACATGGTTTAGAGTATTAAAAATAGATCCAGACAGGTTGAGGCAGTCTATGCTGACTGTTCTATTTTAGGCACAATCTAACACACTATTACATTCATAAGTAAAACTATCCAGTTCCTTTTTTCACGCCTGACTCCTGATTTATTCTTTTGGCTAATTATTCCAAGAGAGCAGGATAGAAGCCAGTATCTACAGAAGCCTAGGTAGTGACTATCTATGATAAGGTTCAGTACTAAAAATTCTGGACCGATAGCTAGCTAATATGAGTCACTTATAAAGTAAGGCAGAAAATTTGTAAACATCTAGAAAACTCATGAGGTACAACAAACCAGAGCTTACTTTT